TATTAAATTTCATCATTATTTCCGGTGACATTTACATTTGAATGCAATAAACAAATTCCCTTCATCAAATTCACGAGAACCCAAAGTTATTGAACCTCTTGATTCACTTTTCCATCTCCCTGTGGATACGACACCCCAAACCTATACTACAACACCGCGTAACACTTTGGGTGTAATCACTTTTCCTTCTTTTTCAACCACACATTCTCCATCAATCTACAATTTCAAAATATATTCTTTCAAAATAATGTGGCTCAAACACACTCATAATAGGGTAAACAAATGCTAGTAGTCACTCAACTCGAGAATATTATGATAATCAACTAACTTTATTGTATTTTAAATTAGTCACTGGATTTTTAGAAAACTAAAAAGTGAGTTAATTTGATCATTAGTTTTTCTTACAGAACGTCGACGTGGCAAAAGAAATATGATGTGGTGTCGACGTTTAGGTCTTCCGTGTCTAATATTTCGTTAGAAAAACTAATGGAATTTAATTGGGTGATAAATCTAAGATTAAAGGCAAAATTTCGTGATAATTTTAAAGGAACATAAAGTTTGTTGACCAACCGGAAGCTTCAATAAAAGTTGAGTGACTGCTAGCATCTTTGACCCTATTATTTTGAGATGGTATATAATATTTTTTCATTACAAGTATCAAATTTTTTTAAAAATGAAAACCTATAAAAAAATAAAAATGAAAATCTATAAAAAATTACGAAAGCCTTTCATATATTTGTAGAATCTATAAAAGTCAATAGAATTTCATGAACTCTACAAAAATCAACAACTTAAAAAAAGTTTATATAAATATTTAAAAGTTTAAATTAAATACATTTAAATTGATTTCATTTGCGGTTTCGAATGTGCTTTTACTTTTGTTTCTCATTTCTTTTAGTTCCTTGTTTCCCGCGAAACTGCAGTACTTTTAAATTAAAAAATATTAATTATATACATTATTATGTAGTATTAAGAAATTACAGTCCATATATTGAACTCGTTTTATTTTAATAAAAATAAAAAGTTATATTATAAAAGATAATCACTCGAGATAACAACACCACAACTCTAACTTTTGATTCATACAAAGTTCAAATTATAAAGATTTATAACGTGTACTAACATCTAAAATGCAAGAGTGATGTTATGAGTAAATAATTTTTATTCATATGAGTTCAGATAACACTCACATGGGATGAGACCCACATTTTGGTGAACCCATCCCATGTGAGTATTATGTGAACCATTATGTCAAAAAATTACATACCACTAACATTATCCAAAATGCAATAATGTGATATGAGGTGAGAGGGAAAAAAGTAGGAGCTAATCTTGATTTAGCCCCTGTTTGATAGCCATTATTTGAATTATTTTTTTACATACTCATTTTTAACCACACATTCACACAATAAAATATTATGCACCTAAATTTATAATTTTTTTTCTACTTTTTAACCACACATTCTCTTAAAAATTACTATTTAAAATATTTTTTTTTCCTAAATAATGGCCATCAAATATGGGCTTATTAGAATTAGAATCTAGAATTTTATACAAATTACTATCCAAATTAGAGTTTTCGATTTTGTATTCTTCTTATCTAGTCTATAAATTGTAAAAACCAAAAAATTAATAAAATATATGTTCCATTCGGGTACCCACGGCTTTAGTTCAATAACCAAGAACCGACACGGACCCAATCGGTCAGGTTCCGATTTGATTTTGGTTCGAGATTTTCGGTTCGGTTAAAATGCACGTGCCTAGAAGGAGATGTTTTTGTTCTTATTCTCCTACTTTTTTTTTTTAATTCTATTAATAAATAATTAGTAAATCTAGATCAGTCAAGTGTTCTAGAAATTATAGAAAGTAAATTATTGTGCTTAACAAAAATTATTCACCTTTAAACATGAGCCTTTGCTTTGGCAAAGTTATTATGCTTATTGTTTAACTAAAGCTAAACAAAAGAAAGCAGGAAACATAGTTTTTACGCAAAACAAGAACTATCATCCAGTAATGCTGTCGATAGAATTTTCGTTTCACATTGCACTTACGTTGTCATTCCAAGCATTGGTTCCCAAGTCGACAATTTGTTTTATCATTTAATTTCTAAAATTGAAAAGACCACACGTACAGATTCCCCGGCAGCTTACAGGGAACATTTTAGTTTAAAACAACTATTGAATCTTTACATTATTGACACATGCAATGATTAAATGTATTTATTAGTCTACGAAAAATGAAACAATCGCACTAATTTGCCCTACCCATGTAAGAATTTAACAATTATACGTATGTGTTATGTCTTAAATCCAATCGATTTGGACATAAACACTTTTAATATGTGTTTAATGCATTTATTTTGGTAACATAAATTATTTATTTGAATTATTATTCTAATAAATTATATAAAATAATAGAGTCCGTAAATTCAAGTTTTAGTAATTTTTTAATCACAAATAGTTGTAAATCTTGAATTAATCATGGTCGTAAGTAATAACAAGATACGGATTAGTATTACAGATAGACCATTACGTGTGACATTTCTTACTTGTGAAGTAAGTAGCTGATTTTACAAGATAAAATGTGGTGACATTTAAATGAACACGTGAATGTTTTATTATAGAACAAAACATTGGAGTCCCGTTGGAGATATTTCACATGGATAACTATCTGTGTGTCGTGGTTGATCTCTAATGTTCGATAGTCGAATTGATCCTTCAATTTGAGGTCATCATAGTGCCTTATATGAGGACAGTCATACTTTGGTAATGTTGGATATTGCTTTACCAAGAGTTGCTAATATGACATCGTTCAGGTATATATCAAGAATCATATGAAGGTTGTAAATGATCAATAGATGAGTCGTCACTCTTACATAGTAAGAGATAATTATGATCTACATTTCATCTGGTTAAGTTGATAACTCTTTGGCCAATGTGTGTTCATAAGTCGAAAAAGGTTTTCAGTTTATATTAACTTAAGTGTACAATGAAAGATATGATCGATAATCAAGATACACTCTTCCATATCTCGTAATTGATCGGATTAAATTGACGAAAGGATTATAATTTTACGGTAAACGAACAAATCTGATTTTGTTATATCATGTGATATTTTTCGTCACATATATTGTCCTGACACATTGGTAAATGTCAATGCGAATTTGTGATAAATTAAAAAGTGGTATGTTAATTTATTGATTGTGATTAGATCAAAATAATAATTCATGTCGTTATGTATCATGATCGAGAACCTAATGTGTTACACATAAAAAGAGAATTAGAAGAATGCGATTTACCAATTAATTAATGAAAATTGTTGGACAATTAATTAATTGAGTTACTTGTTAATAGACATTAATTAATTCGTGGATCAAATTTAATTAATAGAATATTTAAATTTTGGACCGGATTAAGTTTAAGAGACGAGTCAAACACATTTAGATTTCTATTAATAGGTTGGTAGGATTTGACAAATCATAATACAATACAATTAGGACCATGCTAAAAGTACATAATCATTTACATAATACATTACATAATTGACATGTGGCGCACATCCATCGGTAGTCTACAATTTTTGACTTTTCCACGCTTCACATCCACGGCCGGATTTCTTCCACATGAGTCTATGTAATCCATTATGTACAATAATTATGTACATATAGATTTATCCATACAATTATATTCTTACTAACACAAGAAAAGAAAAATTCCGATTCTCTTAATCTTGTTCTCCGTGTGGATTTTCATTGGAAGCTGAACAATTGGAAAGCTGTGGATTGTAGATCAAAATTGTTTTCAAGGAATTCATCAAAGGTATAATTTTCTATCACAATTTTATTTAAACACAAAGCAGATCATTGGTAGGAATTGAAATATATTTTTATTTTTCGATGTGCATGATTAAGTAAATTTTCAACGTTATTTTGTACTAAACCATTAGATATAAAACAAATTTTCGGAACTCAAATGCCAAGTTAGGTGAGATTGAGGACAAATATTTAAATTAGTACATAAAAGCACAGTATGAACGTGTGTATGAACAAATAACACCGAGTTGTTCATGGGAGGCACTCGAATCCAAATTTCTTAGATAAATGCATAAAACTTCTCTATATTACAAAACACTGTTACATATATGGGATTGAGTAATATTTTAACTCAACTTTCTTATTATCATCCGGTGTATGTACAATACTTTTTTTTATTAAACAAACTATAGGAGCACAAAACGAGAGCAAATTTAGTTGAAACGAGGAAGCCCTTTCAATGAGATAATATTTTAAGACTAAATGATTTCTGAAGCCACGCACGCCATCCTCCTCCCTTTTGAGCAATAACCTGCGACCTTGCTTCAGTCATGTGTGGATTGATTTGTTTCTTGCACAAAACGAAGTTCCTTACTCTGTGTGATCCTATTAACTCCGTTGGATAAAGGGCTGAAACCAAAAAGATAATACATTATTTTGCAAAAACCCCAATTTCATAGATGCTCAAGTCCAACCAGCCCACAAAATGCATACTTTAAAACGAAGGAGTATATAATATTCAGCCCCAACAAAGCTCGAGACTAGGGCGTTTCTAGATCTCACCATAAGATAGTCCATTTCAATATGATTGTAGAAAAATAAATTTGAGAAAAGAGTTGTGTTTAATTATACCGTCTAATCCAGCATTGGCAGGGTAGAGAAAGAAACTGTTGACATCAGATCCAAGAATTGGAAGGCGTCCCTCGCGAGCATATAACTTTAAAGCAGTCTCAACCACTGCTGCAGAATTATCATCTTCATTCACAATAAATCTTATCGGGCCTGAACTCCCAAATACATTGACAGTAATCAAGAACCTATTGCTCTTCGTGTTCATATTCTGATCATCATTTTTTTTCTTCTGTTTGGAAACAGGTTTCTTCACTTTCTTATCCATGTTTCGAACTTACTTTTAGGCAAGGAAAAAAAATTGATGTTTAAGAAAATTAAGATGATGAAAATGATATATTGTCGTGAATTGTGTTCAAGGATCAAGGCCGATGCAACGATAATACCAGGCTTTTTTGTGAGAACCGAAGGATGAAGTGAGGAAGCACGAAAATTGAGATGACTGCGCAGAAGATGATGAAGCAGGAAGCATGAAAAAACTGATGGTTTCTACCATTCAAGCCGTGATTTTAAGATGGATTCTGCAAAAGGAAGAAGTTATTTCTCCTTTTTGAGATGAGAGAGAGAGAGAGAGAGAGAGTTGTAGTTTTGTGTGTTGGCATTGTTCATGTGAAGGAGTTGTTAGGACAGGTAACATATTTATATACAAGTGGCGTACACGCTTAAGCTCTGAGGTAATATTTTAGGTACTAGGTCCTTTGAAATGTTGAAATTATCAGCGTTTTAAAATTTGGAGGGACCCTACCGGTTCAATCGAGAAAATGGGGAATCAGGATCAAAATCGGTTCGATTAAACTTATACAACCTCTAATTAAAAACTCGCTTTAAAACCCGTCAAACCGGCCGATTTTTAAAAAAATCGTGACCCATTCCCAATTTAACCTATATAAATGTATATATTTTAAAAATCTTTAAATGTATATTTTTTAATTTTTTAAAAATCACCGTTCTATCCCGATTCAACCTTTTGACATTTGACAATTTCTCTTTTTTGATCGATGGTCGGGTCGGTTTTTTAAAATTAAGCTGCTGCTAATTCGATTTCCTTTTCCTTCTATGGGGAAAAAGCTTATGAGTTTTGTTGACTTCATCTTTGTTAAAATTCTATTTGAAAAGGGTTTTGTGTTACCAGATAAATCAAAAGGTGAATATGATCGAAACATTTGACTTTACTATACCTAAGCATTAAAATACATTACAATGTATTTACTGAAATAATATGTTATACTAATACAAGATATTTGAATTTATTTTTATTTTTTCAAATATTACTCAACCTTGTTCGATTAACATTACCGTATAAATCTATAATATAATTAAAGCTTGCATATGTCAATATTACTCGGCATTCAGCAAATAGTTAAGAGCAATCTAATTACAATTAGTCAACCCTTAAATTAGTTAACATTGCAATTATTAAGAATATATAAAGTGCATATTAATATTAAACAACTCAATAATGTAAAAGCATCTAAGGCAAAGATGTTTGCCGTACCACTAATTTTTAGTAGCAATAATTTTCAGGAATCCATCAAATACATAGGTTAAGAATTGAACATGTGGACATTCTTTGATGTCATGAATGAAAATAATTTGCTCCAACTTGTACTTTTACGAGTATTTTGAAGTGTTTATTTGCAAGATAGAGTTAGCCTCCGTTTGGTGCACATTTTGAAGGTAAGAATGCATTTTTATTGTTGATGTAATGAGAAATATGTTGTTGAAAATGAAGGAAAAATTATTGATATGATGAAAAATATTATTTTATTGCAATTTTTTTTTTTTTGCATTTTCATCCATATTTCAACATTTCACTGCACAAATAATTCTTTTCATTCATTTTCATTCAATTTCTTCATAAAAAAAATGTGAAATAATGAATATATCTCCCTATTTAAATAAAATAGCAAGAAAAAAAAAGAAAAGAAAAATAAGAATTAATTGCAACTATACTCATAATTTTTTTTAAAAAAAATGCAAACGAATCGCAAATAAATTATTAAAAATTAGAAAAAAAATTCCACCACCACCACATACAATAAAGAAATCTAATTGCACAAATATTCTTCCAATCCCAAAATTAAAGGGAAAATACATAGAAATAGCCTAAATTTGAAACCATAATTCAAGAATGGCATTTGACGATTTTAAAGTTTTAAAGTTCCTAAAATA